ACACACACACACACACACACACACACACACACAACAAGCTTCATTGTTTACTACCTTTGATCATTCTCATTTTAATATTCATAAATCCACAAAGCGTCATTGTTTACTTGCCCTCTGATCTTTTTCATTTTCAGTATCACAGACTCACAACAGGCCTCATTGCGGGCTTGCCTTCTGAACATTTTCATTACAATATTCACAACCCTATACAAGCTACATTGTTTATTTTCCTCTACTCTCGTTTTGTAAAGTTTTTAGTTTGCGGAATACACCAAACTAATTTTGGTGTTTATGTACCATTTTCAGACTTACTAGAAATATCTTTTCAAGAATTTTTTATTTGAAAAGAATACCAATAAAAACTGTCAGTCAGTTCTTTTGTATGATTAGACAAGAAACTATCAAGTTACTTTCACACCTTGCACCAAAGTTGTTTTTTTCTACAGCATTCCTCAATATGGCGTTGAAATTGAATATAACAAAATGACAGCACCAAACTAGAGTAATAGAATTTTACTAATAAATGACTGTAGTACTCAAAATGTGATCCAAAATGTTTACATGTCAGGCAAGGTTAACAACCTTAACCTCAAGGCTTACCTTTTACACACCATGTGGTAAGAAAGTTTCATTTATGTTTAAAACTTCTTGTGTTTACTAATTAATTTAAACAATGTAATAAAAGTGATTTAAAGAAATGTGTTACATAAGCTTTAAGAAATGAGACATATTTCACTTAATATGGATAAAGATATCCATATGTTCCTCTGCTGTAGGTGAATGCCTTGTCCAGTGAAGTCATGCAGGAAGTTAAACAAGTGATGCAAGAAGTGATGGTAAGCCCTCATGTCTCTGGTGTGGTGTTGATGTCTTCCAAACCAGGCTGTTTCATTGCAGGAGCTGACATTGGGTAAAAACATTTGGCTGTGTTCCTTTCCTTTAAAAATAATCCATACCAAAATTGTTTGTGTTTCTCTTTATAAATACTTAGCAATTCTACAGAGAAAAAGTTCTTCTTTAGTTAGTTATCTGGTTGAACTCGTTTCTCTTTTGTTCTTTCTTGACATCATTATCTTGATTGTTTTTCTGGCATATCTTTAAAAAATGTGTACAAGAAACATAAATTGACTTTGTATGTAAGAATATTAAATGTTTCAAAGTAAATTGTTACTTTTAAGAAAAAAGCAGCATACTTTATACATCAAATCTTAGCTTATTAACCCAAAGTTATAGGAAGTTTATAGTTAGTTGCAACAGAAAGCATTTTCTCTTCAATAGTAAAACATGGTAGACTGTATACTTGAAACATAATCTCTTGCATTGAGAAAAACTATATGTTGAAAATAATGTATGCAGATCAGGAATTTTTAAAACTTGTAATGTTTACTGAAAGTTTGCGAAGTTTCATGAAAATATATTGGAAGTTATAGTATAGTAACTCTGAAGGTCATTTTATGTCACGAACTTGGCTGATTCACACAACGAGAGAATAAATCAGTTGCTTTCATCTAATTGATCATTCTCACAAGGCTTGGATAGGTGGAATAATTGAAAATAGTAATAATCAAAAACACTGATTTTGTTTAGTTGATTATTTTCATAAGTGAAGACACTAGTCAATTAAGGTGAATGATAATAAAAAAAACAATAATGAGAAATCATAATGGTAATATTTTGATTACTTGGAATAATCAGAAAAACTAATTTTCTTGATTAATTGTTTTATATAACACTGATTAATGTACTCAATGCTCATAGGTAATTGGTTAGTCAAATTAACTCCCCTTTTCTGTTCCACACCTGAAGAAACATTCCAGAGAAAATAAGGCAAGAGCATTTACAAGTAGCTATAACAGTCATCATTCTGCCACATGTATCAAAGTGAAGCTTAAATTAGTATTAAATAGCTAATTTTTTCACATATGACCAGTAAGAACAGACTGAAATCTGATTTCTTACTCATCATACACCCCTCCTTTTCATACATGAAACAAGTACTTATGGTACTCTGTGTGTGTGATTTCTTTAATCGCATTCCAGTTTCATAAGAAGCCCTGTGATCTGTACATTTAGTCTTTAGATTTTGGGGGAGTTGTTCTTGTGTAGAAAGTCATTAAGCTTTTGAACTGGTTTAGTAAAAAACAATTTACCATTTAGTTCATTAGTACTTGGTAGAATACTTTAGTACAAAGATAAATTGATCTCACTAAAGTTTGTATATAGTAAATGCTTAATTTAAACTTGTAAATATAGCCTTCAGCAGGACTTGCCAGGTCTCTATGGCTCCTAAAAAAACTCTTGGTATTAAGAAGTATTAGTAATTTTTATGATAAAAAAGGGTGTACTTTTTGATATACACAATAATATTTCTGCTATACTTAAGCATCACAGAAAAGATTGATCCAGCATTTTGATTTCTAATAAATATTGAAATATCATAAAGGAAGTCCAAATTTACATAATTCTACAAAGCCTTTTAGATTTCTGATGTTTGACCACATGTACCTGCACAGGGGTTCTTAGTTTCTAAGATGTATCTGAAACAATTGATGCTGAAAGTTTCTGTGAGCTTTACATAATTCTACATATTGCACAGAAGATATTTTGGGACTAGTTTAACTTGAAAACATTATAAATATACAATTGCACAAAAAAGCAGCGTGTGTTTTATTTATGTCTAAAATGCATATTAGGCCACAGATTTTCTAGTGGCAGAGCAGGAAGTACTCACTTGCCCCTCTCTGGGTAAAGCTGCTATCCTGGCTTTTTGAATTTAATCCAGGCTCCTTAGTGTTGAAGAAACTTGGCAATCCCTGGTCTTGAGTTTTGTCTAATAGTGCCATCTATATGTCAACTCAGACTTTTAAAATGGAAAATAATTTTTTCCCACTTAGTGAAGAACTCTTTACTTCACTGTCTTGGATAAATGGACAACTATGATGAGCTACAAAATGAGCTAAAAAACTAAAGGAAATAAATGACAGAGCTACCGTGCACTTGGAAAAAGTAATGGCTTAAAATGCAAAGAGCTAATATATATATATATATCGGCACATTTGCCATTCTAAATAACAATATGCCGTGTAATTGAAATTGTCAAGATTTTGTACTGTGTCAGTTGTTTTAAGCTGATAACAGAATATCAACTAAATAAATTACAGTTATTCTTTCATTTATGCTACATTGTTTATATGTTTAACATATAAACTCTTCAACAACACAAGTAAACAGTTAATTTCATATTGTTATTAGTTTAGTAGTAGTCAGCTGTAGACTGACAGGTTTAATGTAAATTTAAACTAGTGTATTAATCATATTGATAGGATGTTGGAAGCATGCCAAACAACAGAAGAAGTCCAGAAACTGTCTAAGGAAGGACAGAACATGCTACAAGAGCTAGAAAACAGTAACAAGCCTATTGTAGCTGCCATTATGGGTTCTTGTTTAGGTGGAGGACTTGAGGTAGGAAAACTCCCTCTGGAGTACAATAACTGTGTTTAGATAGAGAAAACACACAGATTTAGAGCACTGTTAACTCTTTCAACCCGGGCTCGGTCCCTGGGACCAACCTTGTAACCATATTGTGCTTGTTATAGTTTTTATGCTATAACTTTTAAATTAGTAAGCGAATATTAACGAAATTTAGCAGATTATCAGTAAACAATGCTCTCATACACAGAATATAACTTTTTTTTTATTAAGTCTTAAGGTTTACAAAGCAATGTTTTTCTCATGTCTATTTTTTTCTTTTCACATGTTGCCTATCTATCATGCAAAGTAATATTCATTTTAAGGTTAAAAATACTTTTGTGCATGAGAAAATTTTGAAATTTCACATGCAAAATCTTTATAATGTTGAGATAGTTATCAAACATTTCTTAAGAAAAAACTTTATATTTTATCTGTTATTTTCAGTAATTAATCTCTGTATGGGATCAGTAGATTTGATCAATCTCGCAACCACCATAAAAAATTAGGAAATGAATATAAATTATGTCTCTTTCATTCTAGAATGAA